TCTACAGAAGCTATAATCAGTCTCCAGAGCCAGATATCTACAGAACCTACAACCAGTCTCCAGAGCCAGATATCTACAGAACCTACAACCAGTCTCCAGAACCAGATATCTACAGAACCTACAACCAGTCTCCAGAGCCAGATATCTACAGAAGCTACAACCAGTCTCCAGAGCCAGATATCTACAGAACCTACAACCAGTCTCCAGAGCCAGATATCTATAAAAGCTACAACCAGTCTCCAGAGCCAGATATCTACAGAAGCTACAACCAGAGGCCCACTAACCGTTGAGGCTATTTTCATGTCACAAAACAGTCATGTACAGCACCTAATAGCTATATAACTCAATGAAATATTTAAAATAAGATCTATATGAAATTGAAATGTTCATGATCACGTGTAATTTATATTGTATTTGTCAACTGTATCATAGACCTTATGGCCGAAATACTATTGAATATACTTCTGTTTGTCTGATTCCCAAGTTGAAAGTACAAAGTTAACCGAGTATCAGGCTGTAAAGATACTCTGAGATACAAACAACAAAGAAATTGGATGTTTTTTACAACTGTATTCTAAAATAGACAAAGTAGAATCAGTACAAATTGAAAGGTAAACTGAAATGCAAGCAACAAAGTGCTGCTTTTAGCAATATTCCTACAATATCACGGCAGGGGACACTAGAAATGGGCTTCGCACATTGTACCCATGTGGGGAACTAAACCGGGAAGTTTGTCGTGCAAAGGCCTTCACCACGAGGCTACCCCACCACCCCACAAGCAATAAAGACAATGATGGTACTATTCACCAGTCAGTCACATTCATCCAACATGATAGCAATGACTAGCCAGATAGGACCATCACACACAATGATGGTCTTCTTGTGGCTTGAGATGTAATGTGAGGCTTGAAGCAAGAGTTAGCTCCCCTAACGTGCCAGATATTTCGATACTGTTCTGTGCCGCGTTACACAATATATATCACCGCCACATTACACTTTTCCTCAGTGTTATACCCCGCTGCGCATTTAGCTGTCACAAGGTCATTTCAAGGTCACAAGGGGACTTTAACGTTTTACCTTTGTCGGCAAGATATCTCAAGAGCCGTTCACTGGATTGTCTTCATATTTGACACCAAGCTTCATCTAGGGAAGGCGCAGGGCCCACTGACACTTTGGAAATTTGAGTATGTTCAGGGGCGGATACAGCTTTTTGAGAGTGGGGGGTGGGGGTGGGGGTGTGAGTGTTTGCACACTATTGAGAAAAGGAGGGGTACACACTTCATTTTCACCCAGGTTTTGCACCCCTACACCCCGTTCTGGATCCCTCGTCCTGGGGTAGATGTATGTGGGGTAGTGGATCCTGACCAGATCTAAAGTCTGTGGTGCATGACGTAATAGGATCCTGGTCTAAAGTGATGCCTGCGGGAGATGGGGTAGCCTATCTTAGTCTGAAGTGATGCCTGCGGGTTATGGGATAGCCTAACTTAGTCTGAAGTGATGCCTGCGGAAGATGGGGTAGCCTAACTTGGTCTGAAGCGATGCCTGCGGGTGATGGGATAGCCTAACCTGGCCTGAAGTGATGCCTGCTGGAGATGGGATAGCTTAACTTAGTCTGAAGTGATGCCTGCGGGAGATGGGATAGCTTAACTTAGTCTAAATTGATGCCTGCTGGAGATGGGATAACTTAACTTAGTCTGAAGTGATGCCAGGACTGGATATTATTCGTAAGTTGTTATGACATGCCGTTTACTTCCCCTGTTCAATTCCCCTAAATGATTATCTTATCTAAGCTGATATCTCTATCCCCCAGCCCGATCCCAATCACCGTCTGCGACACCCGTCCTGGTTTTGCTTTTGAGACGACCCCTCCTATCTCTTCCTTTTTATAATGATAGTGAGACTTCATGGTAGCTACATCCTTAATAGTTTCAATATCAAAGTTATAATTTTTTACGTCAGCTATCGTTTATTATGAAGCTAAGTTTAATTTCAAAATGGGCATATAAAAAAGTGTCCTTTGTAATACAATATCATCGCACACTAATTTGCATGTGGTCTGTTCCAAATAAGTCAGTTTGTTTGAGATGACAAGTTAAAATTGATATTGAAGGTGTCACCGTAAACGTTACTGTTGCTGAATAATCCAGATGTCATTCCGTGTAGTGTAGTAGTGTTTTGGTTTACCTGACTGCTGTTAGGCCTACATTCAAACCATTTTGGAAGTGACATGCGTTGTTGGTGAGAGACAGCTTTAGACGAATTGTCAACAGGAACAAGAGAGTTTTCTTTACTACCAGTAAGGATACCAGACATGTGTTTCTGCATTGGAAGGGAAGCAACAGCATAGTCATTGAGACTGTTCACAGTTTTGTGCCCTGACAACTGACATATTGTCGTCGGTTCTACACCGGAATGAAGCAGCTGTGTACACATGGACTTTCGAGCACTGTGATTTGTGATTTTGCCGACCAAACCGGCACGGGAATCCATGTTTTTCACGAGGCCACCGAGTGTGTTGATGCCAAGAGGACCGTTTTGAAACCATAGACCATCAGACTTTCTCTTGTGATTGATCGCTAGGTAAAATGGTCCATCGGGAGCTGACATGCTTTTCGGCCGTTGTTTGGCAAAGGATTTGTACACTGTGAGGATACATGTTTCATTTCCGGGGAATATTTTAGGATTGAACATGCGATGGTGAGTGGAATTTCCGTCCCTTGTTTCAGTCTCCCTTTCCCAAAACTCAAGATACTCCTGGCCATCAGAATCTGTTTTAAATTGAACTTCACCCCATTTTCATTTTCTGCTTTCATCCCGCCCACGCAATCCAAACATTTTAGTAAAATAGTACCATAAAATGTTCACAATTGACTGAGGTGAATGACTCCTAAATTCACCCTTTTCCCACAACCGTTCCTCATCTTCCACTGACAGAGACTCGGATTTATTTGGCCGATTCCTCTTACCTGTTTGTTTTAGTTCTTTCCTTTTTGCTTCAAGAACTTTTCTACTGGTACGGAATTCCGCATCTTGCACAATGTTAGAGGGGTCATCGTTGTCAGGAAGGTGGCGATCAATGGCGCGATGGTAGGAGGTTAATGTGTCAGGTTCGTAGGGTTCACCATTGTCCTTCTCCAGAGAAAGAATGTAGGATCCAATAAGAACATCAAGTTCTTGAGGAGGGAGGGTCAGCATGTCTTGTTTCACATTGTTTTCCAATAAAAAATGGTTGAATTTAGAAACAAGACTGTTTGTTTTCTGTACCGTGGTGACACTTTTCTTGGTCTCGATGTATGCCTTGAAATCTTTGATGTTCTTTGTTACGAGAGGCACTGGTGATGATTCCAAAGTAATCATAGAGTATTCCAGTTCAAACGTACCAAAATTCTCGTCCAATAACATGTCAAATAAGTCTCGATCGATGGTACCATCGATGTCATTGTTGCCGACATGTTGACAACAAGCAGACGATGTATGTCACGTGAAAAAACACAAGGACAGTTTTTTCTTTCAATCTTTTAATGTAATCAGCAAGTACGATATTGTTTTAATTTTCTAAATTAATCGTATACAACTTAAAAATCATATTATTATATTCAATTGACACACCTCTCGTTAGCTGGGAAACCCATGACCTACATATTAGGTGTAAATTTAGTGGATACGGAAAATCCCGGAAAGTGCCGAGCTTTGGAGAAAGTAGAACCGGCAGGGGTTCAATACGGAATCTGGGTGCAATAGGGAATTTGACCACGTCATCCGTATTGCACCCCTGTATTACTATCCTAAGTTTACATGGGTATGTAATAAAAAAGTAGAATACGGGTTGACTTGAAATCAGTGTTGAAGAGAAGCATAAGTGACATAAATACTCACAACATTTAAAATTGATTTCCTCGAGTGGCATACAGAAGCTGGTATGATGAACAGGTAAGATGTTTTAAAGAAAGACTATTGCAATGGATGCGACGTTTCGGTGTAGATGCTAACACCGTTATCAAGCAGGTGATACACAACATTATGAACAAGGAGAATATATACATGAAAGATGTTTGAGCCAACCGGTTTCACCATGTTGTGCTGTAGTACATGGGTCTAACGTTTACATTCGTCACCATTCGCCCCTTTCCGTAAATAGTTAGTTCTTTATTCAATATTCGTGATATTCAGATATGGAATATCGGGTGATTTATATCTTGTTTCTTGTTTCTTGTATACTCAACATCATACTGTCTCTGCTTTTAAAGATCCTTCCCTGATGCCGAAAGGAAACTGAGAGTGTAAATACATGTATGCCAAGTCAGACACATAGACTTGACTGTGGTTACAAGTGAACACCTTAATAGGTCCCTCAGTTCTGAGACAAACATACATGTAACCATATGGGTCTACACAGACACCCGCAGGATAGTTCTGTCAGTACCGTCCCTCTTCTGTCAGTATAGTGCAGATCTGTACAAACTGTCCTGACTCAGTCAGATGAATAGTTACTTTGTGTATTTTGCAATATGGACAACTGATAAACCTTTGTTGTAGACAGACACCCACAACCATGATATGTTTCCCAGAATGTCCTGACATGTAGCAGCACAACACTACCTTCTGCTGTATGTTCCTACCAGAATGTCCTGACATGTAATACACAACACTACTCTTCTGTCTGTATGGTTCTACCAGTTGTCTGACATGTTACCATGTCTGTATGTTTTGTGTCCTGAATATGCACAACACTACCATCCTGTCTGTATGTTTCTAGAATGTCCTGAGACAAGATGACCAGAATGTCCTGACATGTAGCAGCACAACACTACCATCTTCTGTCTGTATGTTTCTACCAGAATGTCCTGACATGTAGCAGAATGTCTGTATGTTTCTACCAGACCTGACATGTAGCAGCACAACACTACAGCATCTTCTGTCTGTATGTTTCTACCAGAATGTCCTGACATGTAGCAGCACAACACTACCATCTTCTGTCTGTATGTTTCTACCAGAATGTCCTGACATGTAGCAGCAGCTCATCAGTGTTTCTCTATTTACACGAGAACGTCTGTATGACACCCTTGTTAAGACAAACACGTAGCCACCCTCTCTCATCTATACACAGTCCACGTGGATTCTGAATACAGTCCTCGGATGTCAGCAGATTTTGTACAAACTGTCCTGACTCAGTCAGATGGATGACTCTGTGTAGACTGAAGTCTGTAACCAGGATGTCGCCTGTGTCGGTACTTGTGATACCCTGAGGATACTCAGTGCTGTGTCTCCTGTAGGGCTGTAGCTGAACACCACATCTCCCTCGGGGGTCAGACACACGACACACTTGGTTCCCCAGTCAGACACCAGGATGTTACCTGTCCTCGTAGTACTGAGGAAGTTAGGATACTGAAAGATGTTGTTACCTTTGTGACGTGTTCTGATAGACCTCAGCACGTTTCCTGTCATATCCAGGATGTCAACACAAGGAGGAGGCTGGGAACCAGCTGATAGTGTTGATGGAGTCAGGGACGTTATACCCCGATACTGTTTGCTGGTTGTGATGGTTGTCAGTAACTCCAGGTCTGGTTTGACATTTACTGTTACAATCTGTTTGGTTGCTGGCACAGTGACAGCTACCTGATCGTGTGTCAACTTCGTAATACCATAGGGACTTCTATCAAGCAGGAGCTTACTGTGGCCTGGCTGATTGTTGCTGGTGTAGAAGGACTTCACACTCCTGTTGTTGAAGTCGGTGACTACAACGGTGTCTATGTCATTCACCACCAGCACTGTCACGTCACTGGGGATTGGTTTACTCCTGTCGTCTGCTACTCTGATGTCAATGGTGTCTTGTAACACAGGAGTAGCCTTCAGGTCCAGCACACTCTCATACAGGACCTCTATCTCACCCAGCTGTAGATCGTCCAGTGCTTTACTCAGCTTGTCTGAGTCTTGTCGGAGTGTGACACTGGCTATTCTTCCTCCCTCCTTCAGGTCAGCGTCCCGAACAGCCTCCACATCACCGGCCTCACATCCCTGATACATCTCATACACATCCATGTCACACTCAGATTGTAGAGCCTGGTCTATCAGCTCCGTCTGATGTTGGTACATCAGTACCGACATCTCACCTGTCTTTATGTCTGCTTTCAATTGTCCGATGTGTTTATGTGAAATATCTTCCATCCGATCGAGTAGCTTCCTTTCTTTTTTCTTGGCCCGATCTATAACTTTCTGGCATGCGGAATGAATGTGTGACTTCATCAGTGAATAATGATCTCTCTCTCTCTGCTCCTGCAACTTTTGTTCCTTCACACGAAGTTTCGTCTCACCTTCCTTCTTTGATAATGACTTCTTCATTTCTGTCAGCTCTGTTTTCATTGTCACCATCTGTGAGGTGATCGTGACAACGGCATCACATTTCCTGTGATAAAGTATGCAACATTTCTGACACACGGCCTTCTTGCAGTCCTGACAGAGAAATTCTAGCGACTCCTGTTTGTGCTCCTTGCACATGGCCTTTCGCTTTCCCTTGACCTTGACCTCTCCAGACAGGTCAGTGACGTCATGGTGACGAAATGATGGGATGCGGTTGTGAGCTCCAGTACATTTCTCACAGAGTGCATCATCACAGACGGAGCACCAAGCAACAGCCACAGTTGTCTCCCCATGTTCTTGGCAGTAGGTACAATTGGTCGTATCTGTAAACACATCACATTTGCAAAATAACATCTCGCCTACTTGAAACACTTACACATGTTTATCTCTCATTGTATCTTTATAGCACAGGAAACACTAGTAACAAACATTGACCAATTCAGTAACACCCTACTGACACATTTCTGAGACGATCACTTATTGAATTCTGTGGAGCACCCAGCGACACATAAGCTGGCCACTTTATATGGTACACCTGCAGTCCATCTGTGGGCGTTGCTTTATACATGGGAGTCTCAGTACAATGGTTAAGGAGTCATGTCAACTGGGATGGTCGGGAAAGAACAGAACAGAACAGGACTCCTGGGATGCGATGGTCGGGACAGGTAAATGGGAGGGTCGGGATGGGTTGGGCAGGTGAATGAGACTCCTGGGGTGTGTGGGACAGGTGAATGGGACTAATGGGGTGGATGGGACAGGTGAATGGGAGTGCTGGGGTGGGTGGGACAGGTGAATGGGAACTGGGGTGGGTGGGACAGGGGGACAGGTGAATTGGAGGATGGGGTGGGTGGACAGGTGAATGGGAAATGCAGGTGAATGGGAGAGTTGGGGTGGGTGGGACAGGTGAATGGGAGTGTTGGGGTGGGTGGGACAGGTGAATGGGAGTGTTAGGGTGGGTGGGACAGGTGAATGGGACTCTGGGGTGGGTGGGACAGGTGAATGGGACTGCTGGGGTGGGTGGGACAGGTGAATGGGAGCGCTGGGGTGGGTGGGACAGGTGAATGGGAGGGTTGGGGTGGGTGGGACAGGTGAATGGGAGTGTGGGGTGGGTGGGACAGGTGAATGGGAGGTTTGGGTGGTGAATGGGACAGGTGAATGGGAGTGCTGGGGTGGATAGGTGAATGGTGAATGCTAGGGTCTGGGAGGTGAATGGGTGTGGGTGGGACAGGTGAATGGGAGTGCTGGGGTGGGTGGGACAGGTGAATGGGGGGTGCTGGGGTGGGTGGAATAGGCGATGGCATTGCTAGGGTGGATAAGACAGGTAAATGGGAGTGCTAGGGTCGGACAGGTAAATGGGAGCGCTGGGCAGGATGGGACAGGTGAATGTTATTGCTGGGGTGGGTGGGACAGGTGAATGTTATTGCTGGCGTGAATGGGACAGTTGAATCGCAATTCTGGGATGGGTGGGACAGATGAATGGGAGCGTTGGGGTGGGTGGAACAGGTGAATGGCAATGCTGGGGTGGGTGGGACATTCTTCTGCCACTAACCTACTGACATAGACCACTAGACCCGTTTTATTTGCAACAAATGTTATTTGGTTATTTTTGCACATTTAGCCAACGATTTAGGAATTCTTCTCCGGAAATGGAAAACGGACGGGCAGACATGGTGATCGCTATATCTCACTGTTTCTCAAACAGGAATATACATATATCTCTTTGGTAGAGGGTATAAAGTTGTAGCTACCTTTGGATCCAGGGCCAAACGAGTCCAAGAGTCCCTGGATGAGAAAGATAGGTTTGACGTCATCCGCCCACTCCTCCACTGGTCTCTCAGGAGCGGACACTTTCGTCATCTTTCTGCAGAATGGACACAGGAGGGACTTGGCACTGATGGCTTCTGGTCTGGTTTTGGTGTAGTTGACGATACATTTCCGACAGAAGGTGTGATTACACACAAGTGTACAGGGCTTGTCAAACACCTCTGTACATATTGTACAGGACAAGAAATGGTCCGTCAGCTTCTGAGAGGTTGCCATCTGAAACCAGGTAAATAATGTCTACACTCTTGACATCTATCTAACATTGTCCAACTGCAGGTGATTCAGAACCTCTGTACAGACAGGTGACTGTAAAGTTTAACTCACTCACTCACTGTCTCAATGTACCTCAGGTGATGCTGATGCCGCAGTGTGTACATATCACGTTTTACAGATTGGTCAGATAGTAAAGTATGCAATTAAAGCTTATGGCATATATAAACGCTTCCAATAGTGTCTATGGTATATGTAAATTACCATCAGTCAAGGATATTGTGTTCGTCGTGTTGTCAATGGATGTGAATAGCCAATATCAATGGTAAAAGAGTTCCATCAACTTTGTGGCAGACTTCAGGAGATCTAATAATGAGATCAAGAGTAAAAGAGTATTTGCAGCCCCACACGGCCATGTGTTGATCGACCTAGAAGTCGTTAGATATGGACAGCCATAGCATGTGATATCAAATCTCCGACTTCGGGACCACATGCACGAAGCCATTTTAGCCCTACGCTATCTTATGTCTATGCTGAAGCAAGGGTAACATGTACGCTTTAGATCACATGCAAATTAAATGACCCAGCAAAAGGGCCATGGGTTGCCCAGCCGTCTGAGGTGCGGTGATTGTTCTTCAACACCAAGTATATTGTCCTAAATAATATAGTTCCTAAATATAACATAGTTATACTTGATAGAGGAACAGTAAAAACAGAAAAAGACCATTTTCCCACAAGAAGTGTGTCCGTTACAACTGGCGAGAAATTGGTACAAATCCCGAATACACGCTGCGCTCTTAAAGTTGGTTTACTTGCTATTACACAATAAAGCCATATATGGCAAAATTCCCCCCTTGTGAAATGGTCAATATGATGATTATGATTTTCTTGAAGTATCAGTGGAGCACAACAGCTGACTGAATACCTCCTGTGTCATTCCGTGTTGATCACGTGTGTTCATTACCAGAACGAAAGTAGACAACATGCACTTCCTTGTTGTGTACACTATCTACATGTACGATGTATGTAGGTCACAGGCAACACACTGGAGGTTGAGGCGGCTGTAGACCACGACAGGAGACTAATACACACACACTGCTGGCATAAAGAACTCATAATTATCATTGTTGACATGAAATACACCTAATTATCGACTCACTTTACTCGTGAAGATCTGACGGAATACAACAAACAATATTCGACTTTGGACTGAGGCTTGGACAGGGCGTAAATAGTTATAAATATACTGAATACTTGATACATCAGATAACCAGAAACAGAGTGCTTGTGCTTCCATCAATACCAGGACCAACCATCCAGTATTTGATACATTATGATGTATAGCAACTTACCGCACTGTCCACCTTCACACTTCACAACCGCCACTTGCCGTGTGGGCGTCACCAGTCATGTAGAGGGTAAATGTACACCCGCGACAAAGTATTACCCGTCAGGTCAGGTAAAGATGATCTTGTGCGATATGTACACTTCGTAGCAAAGGGGAGGGACCAGCAAAATGGTTGGGCGCTGACAAACCTAAAGTACTGTCGGAAATAGAGAACAACTGTTTTTAGGATGTTACACTATATCCCTAAAATTTACACAATTGCAAATAGCATAATCGAAATAACCCACATCGGCCTAACATGGCGTTCAGTGGGATGCATAATTGGATATCCAGAAAAAGCATGTCAAAGCTTAGAAAAAATAGGAAGAGCTGCTGAAAACAATAGATCAGACTAAAGATGGCAATTAGGTCGATCAGCCTCGGGTGTTGTTTTAATTAATCTCCATATTTAGTGTCTAAGATGTGGGTGTCTGAAATGCATGTGCTTCCTACAGGCAGAAGGGGTCATCTCAAAGAAGATGTTATACTTTTCATGTGTGTTGAATATGTTTCATCTATTGATTACGTGTCTTTCTTTCCTAAAGTTTATGTTGAGATGTGTAAAAGAGTATTGTAGGTTCCACAAACGCAGGACGTTGTTCCACTTCTTTATTCAGGCCCATTACAGTTACAGTAACTCATATTTACAATGCAAAACCTTTAAATTACGCTGTAATACGGTTGAAAACCGTGTAGCCCTATGCCTGAACGTTTCATGGTTTCTGCTTCGGCCGACCTCTCTCTCACCACTGCCCATGGCTCGCATCGCCTCATCTCGCTGTCACATGACTGTCACATGACCCATACTCTTGTTTCTAATTATAGCTTACTGCTGTCAGTGTCAAACAGATGCTATAACTGGCACTTACACTCCGGCCCCTAATTAGTAACAACCTGTGACTAATTATATCAAAATATATAAGTGCCCTCGTGTAAACAAAGGAAATATCATTCTCATTCACTTTTGAAATACTGCTAACACTGTTAACACAGATTAAAGTTAAATTCATCACCTTAAATGTACATTCAAAGTAATACTGAATCTTTCAGCACAAGAAATACTTTAAATCATAATTCAATATTGTAGCTTTACTATATCTTCACACCTTAAGTCTCACAATCAGTGAAATAACTTACTTTCACTGTTACATCACCATTGTATCATAATCTGGCAAAATACATTTAACATAGCTTCCCTTTTAATAATAAACTCAGAGTCAAACACACTATAAATTACATGTTTCAATCCTGAAACATAATCACAAATAAACTGAAATGTCATTTATGCATGATTGTCACTTGTTTGTCAGTAATGTACATCACTGGGTACATCACTGGAATGTCACATATTTTGCCCGGTACATCACTTGAATGTCACATATTGAGCCCGGTACATCACTGGAATGTCACATATTATGCCCGGTACATCACTGGAATGTCACATATTATGCCCGGTACATCACTGGAATGTCACATATTATGCCCGTTACATCACTGGAATGTCACATATTATGCCCGGTACATCACTGGAATGTCACTTGTACATCCTGTTCTGTACATCACTGCAGTATGAACTTCATACTGGCTTAACAGTCTCTGTAAATTAATCTTCAGAATTAGAATTAGACAAAGACACATTGATCAACATATTAATGATCATTTTCTAGCAGTAAACACAACTTGTTGACTGGTCTCTCAAGAGTGCTTACTCTTGTCTTCACTTGTACTTGACGTACATGACCTTGTTTATCAGGATACACATTCACTATGCGCCCCATAGGCCAGGAGCATCTTGGTGACAAACTGTCCACAATCAACACGACATCCCCTACCTGGAGATTTCGTCTTGGTTCCAACCATTTTTGACGCTCTTGACATAACGGTAGGTATTCTCGCACCCAACGCTTCCAGAATAAGTCAGACATGTATTGAATTTGGCGCCATCTTCTCTTGACATACAAATCTTCTTTTCGAAACACAACAGGTGATAGACTGGCAGATTCCTTGAGTAGAAGTAGATGATTTGGAGTTAGTGAATGTCAAATCATTGGGGTCACTAGAGATTTTGGAAATAGGTCTACTATTGACAATAGCCTCAATTTCACAGAAAACAGTCTGCAATCCTTCATCATCCAAAATCTGTTCTTTGACAAGTCCAGAAAGTACTTTCCTAACAGTTCTTATTTGCTTTTCCCAAATACCTCCAAAATGTGAAGCTGCGGGGGGATTAAATATCCAATCTACATTCTTCTGCAACAAGGATTCATGAATTTTTGACTGATTCCAACTTTCAATTTGCTCTCTCAGTTCCCTTTCAGTTCCAACAAGATTTGTCCCATTGTCAGACCGGATTGACTTAACCTGACCTCTTCTAGCGATGAATCTGCGTAATGCGCATATACGAGAATCCGTGTCTAAAGAATATGCGACTTCAAGATGGCTCGTATTGTCAAACACGTAAAGAGAACACCATACCTTTTGACCTGATTACGAGCTCGCTTGACCATGATAGGTCCAAAATAGTCAATTCCCATATAAGTGAAAGGTGGTTCTGCATGAATTAACCTGTCGCTTGGCAGGTCTGACATTTTCTGCTAACAAGGCTTCGACTGTTGTCATCTGCACACAACACACTTGTTTAGTATGCTGCGAACTGCGGAGTTACCTTTCAATATCCAATACTTGTCTGCAAGTCTTGAAAGGATATGATTTCTTCCCATATGGCCAGCAATTTCATGAATGTACTGAATGAGTAGATTTGTAACATGACATTTCTTTGGCAAAATAAAGTCATTCAAATTTGCTTTTCTGATACGGCCTCCCACACGTAGAACATCATCTTCGACAAATGGATTTCGGGCTTCGATAGATTGACTTTTCTTCTTGATTTTGGCTGTTGATTTCTTGTTCAGTTGACTTTTCAAAACATCAATTTCTTCTGAAAAGGCTTGTCTTTGAACATGGTTCAAAATGGTTATTTCAGCATTTTCCATTTCTGATACAGTTAATGGAGAGTTTTCTTTTCCAGAAAATGTTTGCTTTTGATCTCAAACCCGTACTTACATGCTGTTTTATCGGTTTGTTTACCTCTTTCTACGAAATATTTTCTTCAGTCGCAGCAGCCACGCGACAGCTTCTTTTCAATCGGAACCAATCCGAATAGTAGGCCAACAGCTTGTTGATAGGCTCTGATGCATCATTTGTTGAAACCTTCTGCTTAAGCATACTTTCTTCACTTCTGTCACCTTCTGGTAACATCTTGGAATGTTTGTCTTTGGAATAGGCCACTTTGATTCCTCCTCTTGAGAAATTCTGGTCCATTTAGCCATCTTGTAGCATTTTTCCACTAACTTGAGTGATAATCCTCTTTTGACGCACCATCATGGGCAGGATTCTCCTCTGAAGGAACGTAACGCCATTGTGATTGGTTTTTGACATCCTCATGTATGACAGCTTAGTCCATTAGCTACAAATGTCTGACATCTTGTGCTCTTATTCTGTAAATAGCAATAAAACTGACATACTGTCTGTCCAGAAGAATGTCTTTTCCACTGGGATTTCCAACTCTTATCTTAGTAAATTATCAACTCTACCGCAACTGTTGAGGCTGTCAGTTCTAACCTAGGCACTGTAATCTGCTTCAAAGGCGTGACTCTGGATTTACCAATAAGGAAGGTGCAGTGTACCTTACCAGTGGTGTCTACTTGTCTCAAATAGCTTACAGTCCCATATCCGTTTTCACTGGCATCAGCAAAAGTGTGAATCTGTGTCGATGAAATGTCTTGTAATTTTGTCGACTTAACACATCGGTTGATGGCGAGGTCCTCCAATTTCGGTAAGTTATGAAGCCAATTCTGCCATATGATCACATACTTCCTAGGTGGTTCCTGATCCCATCCATATTTGAGTCTGTATAGATCCTGTAGTAGAGACTTGGCAGGCAGAATGAAAGGCGCAACTAGTCCAAGTGGGTCATACACTGAGCTTACGATGGAAAGTATGTCTCTTCTGGTCGCTGGTCTTGGGTTAATATCAATCTTTATCTTGAATTGGTCAGTTTCAATACACCGTCTCATTCCAAGTGCCCTTTCTATTGGTAAACTGTTCTGTTTCAAATCTAAATCTTTAACTTCTTTAGCCTTTTCATTCTCAGGTATGTTATCCAACACTTTTCTGCTATTACTAATCCATTTAGTCAAGTGAAATCCACCTTTCTGGCATGCTGTGGTCAATTCCTGAACAAGCTCAACTGCTTCATCTTCTGTCGCAAGCGACTTCAGACAGTCATCTACATAGAAATTCTTCTCTATCGTGTTGATTACATTTGGACTAAAGTTCTTTGCACTATCGTCTGCTGTTTGCCGAAGTGCAAAGTTTGAGCAACTTGGGGATGAAACAGCTCCGAAAATATGTACTTTGATCTGATAATCTGTTTGATTGGCATTTTCGTCAATGTTTCCATCAGTCCACCAGAGGAAACGCAATACACTAGTAGCTATCTGACTTCGACATCACTTGGTATAAACATGGATTCTAGTATCAGGATATTAACTCGCAATCGGCTCCTGTCTGAATCGGAGTAAATACACCAAGAAGGAGCTAGTGAGATCTGGGTCCTTGGTAACAGCTGATCATCATTTAACGAAGTTCCTTGAAACCTGGCTGAACAATCAAAACAAACTCTTGATTTCTCGTGGCTTTTTCTGGATGATATATGCCATGATGAACTAAGTACCAGACCTTCCATCTGACTGACCCAATTTCTCATCAGGGGACTCTCTGGAGCATAACCTTTTCTAAAAGTTTATCAATAAACTCTTTGTAATCTTCAAAGTATTGTTGATTCCTCTGAAACTTCCTCTTTCAAGGAGTTCATTCTTTCTTCCAATGTAGCTGATGTTTGTTGCTGGGCATCTTTACACTATGGTTCAGCGAAAAGGTAAGTCCAACTGATGAGTTATCCAAGTCGGCACTCAAGAGTGACTTACAAGAATTTTCCATGTGATTCCAACAGGTGAACTGTTTGCATCTTCTTGTGGGCATCTCTGGACTTTCATCTGGTTAAAGCAGCACCTAAAATCATGGATTGAATTGACCACAAATTGTTTGGGTTCAAATCTGTTTCTCCGCATCATGCATGCGGTCTGTTGACTGAAGAAACTGTGTTTTGCCCTGACCATCACCCTCGTTTCCTTCCTAATGTGGGACTGCTCACTGTATTCCATCCAAGCAATGTCTTCTGACAGCACATGGTCCTTCATCTCTACACTGTTAATAACTTGCCATGGTCTACAGCTCGTGGAACATTATTTCCCATGAGAAGTTCAACTCTTTGCCAGCATTGATTGTAGGCCAGGTTCATTTCTTCAAGTGCATGACCCATTTAATTTGAGGATCCTCTTGGTATACATACATATCAGACCCTAGAGACTGGTATCTGTTTCTGACTGTGTACACATCCTGGTAATTACCAATCTACACTTTATCTCCATCCAGGACTTGTGACTTGTCATAGATTTCTCAAAAGAAAGCTGCGTAACTTCTTTGTAAATGTCCCAATCGCATTTGTGATTTGAGACCTCTCTCCGCTTCTCTATTCCCAAGTTTCTTTCCATGATACTTTCTGTTACGAGAATGTTCTGAGCTTCTGCCACTGTCCAGGAAAGCATAGAGTCTCCAGCACACTCATCCCCACATGCCCACCTTTACTGTACAGGGATAATAGGCATGCCACACCTCCCCTATATTCCTGGCCCCAGTATCCCTTCTGCATCACATTGCATGTTACCATGATTACTTTGCAACTTCCTTTGAGCTGATAGAACCCAAGCTGGGTAGAGAGATTATTCTTGTTATTAAAGTGTAATACTGTAGCATGTGTTCTTCCACACAGAGTTCACATGAAAGTTTCTTGGTACACCTTTACTTATGTGCCCATGGTTATGACACCGAAACAAAGACGGCACCTTTGGACCTAAGGAATGTTAACCTCTCTTCATTTGGCTTGTTGCGCAGTCGCTTGCACATCTCCAAGGAATGTTCTGCATGACAATATAGACATGGAGATCTAAAAGCACTTTTAATTCCATTTGTCTGCTGTTCACTAGATATTGTGCGATCTGTATAACCTCCAATGTATTCCTTTCGGATTTCACATCTGTGTGTTTTGGGGATTCAAACCTCCTTGCCTTGTAATTTTCAACTTCCGACAATACAGTGGTAAATCTTGAACTTTTGTATTTGCTTGTTTTGGTTGGTTGTACTTTTTAGTCTTAGATCCTTTGTCTTCCACAATATTGCCGTACAATGGGTTGGATATTATCTCTGTATGTTCCTCCACGTATTCAGCAAGATCAATGAAATCAGCATATCTTCTTTGCTTTTCTTGGATTAAATGGGCTTGCATTCTCCATCTCCCTCAGCTTGAATGGTAGCTTCGAAACAAGAGTTCTCAAGTTGACAGGGTGATCTAACTCTCTCATATATTCAATATTGGTCATGCTGTTCTTACATCCTATTAGAAAGAGTGAGAAACTGTTCAATGCCTGAACATCTTCCGATTTCACAGGTGGCCAATTCAATGCTTTCGATGTATGCTGAAGCCACCTTTAAACGGATCTCCATATTTCTTTCTGAGAAGATTCTTTGCTGTCCAATAACAATCTTCTCGTCTCCTAAGCATACAGCTCTGCACTAATTCTATAAGGTTCCCCTTTGTGTACTGCGCTAAATAATACAACCTATCTTTCGGGTTATGAGTTTTTCTTCAATGATGTGTTCAAAAGATTGCACGAAACCATGAAATTCCAACGGATTCCACTGAATGCAGAAATATCTCTAAATGGTAACTTTGACATAAGTTGCTGCTCCATTAATAGTTCCATCAATTGGTTCTGTTTTGCTCAAGATATCATGTAATGATGTGGCTCAGACTGTGGTTTCCCTTCACCTGAACTTGGTTTTGGTTTTCCATCATTTGAAAGTGGGTTTCACCATTCTGGTTGCTAAGTCTCTAGTTGATGAGTCAAAGTTTCTAACATTGTCTCCAGTATTCTACCTCGGTGTACTTGGACGTCTCTGACTGATATGAATCTCTTTTCCTCCTTAATGTTTAAAGTATCATCCTCTGATTTACTTTCTGACTATCTTCTACTCATACTGCTTATATACCAGTGTTTTGGCTTCTGTAGCTAAGCAATTCTGCTCTAAGCTCAACTTCTTCTTTCAAGTGTCTAAGACGACTTTCTTCTTCCTCTAACATTTGCTTCTGTTTCAATACTGAAGAGCGTGCTAACAACTCTGCTCGCTTAGCTTCCGCTTTCATTCTCTTTTAGAAGCAGATGGACTGTACTGTCGACTGATAACTTCTATCCGAACAAGCATGTGAAATGCTATCTTCAGGCCTGACTACATTTGACACAATATCTATGTCTAACCTCTCTTCAGCATCCTTCAGCCAAACGTCTACTGATTCTCTGAAACTCATAAAGTCACTCTTTCTCCTAGCATACCATGTTGAAGATTCTTCTAGTTCATGTGGGCTCACTAATTCACTATGATAAGAACTGTGAGCATTATCAAATGCCTGATATTTCTCCTTCCATAATGCATATTCTGTCTGAATTCTGTCATAGTTATCAAAGCTTGACATCAATTGTAGAAGGCTATTTTCAATTGAAGTAACTTGATTCCCCAATAATCTTCTATTTTCGTTCAGTCGTGTGAGTTTGTATTCTAAGCCTTTTTCTGTTAACTGTCTCTTTCTACCACTTGCCTCCGACATGTTGGAAACTAAAAGAAATCTTCAGTCTTCGCTTTCAAAGTTAACAGGTTAACTGGTCATAAGCAATGTCAAAGTTCATGAACTAATTTTGATACCCACGGCGTACCATGTTGAATATCCAAACACACATGCTCTGTTAGTGTCAATATACTTCCCACAATGCAAGCGTGACGAATGTTTTCATTTCGAAACGACAGTTTATAAAGTTACTTCCACACCAAAATATGACTTGAATTATGTTAGTAACACTTTGAAATAGCATTTGTCTATCTTGAACTTGACTGTTACCTTCATGACACTGTATTGTTTGGCAGTGTTTAGCCTCGTGTTTTTCCGAGTCTTCAGCCGCCTGTCCTGTTTTCGTGAAACTTTCGTGACAACTGACGGGCAGGTTTTCAACCTTGTAGGTTCCACAAACGCAGGACGTTGTTCCACTTCTTTATTCAGGACCATTACAGTTACAACTCATATTTCCTATGCAAACCCTTTAAATTACGCTGTAATACGGTTGAAAACCGTGTAGCCCTATGCCCGAACGTTAGCATCTTTTTGCTTCGGCCGACCTCCCTCTCACCCCTGCCCGTGGCTCGCCTCGCCTCAACTCCCCGTCACATGACCAGTCACATGACCCATCACATGACCCATACTCTTGTTTCTAATTATAGCTCACTGCTGTCACTGTCAAACAGATGCTATAACTGGCACTTACAGGTGACAAGGCAAGGGGGTATATTAAAACAGTCCATCCCTGTAATCAGTTTATAAATAATTCCACCATATTAAAAGTACCTATATATAACAACCCAATTAAAAGAGATGTATGGCGGAACTATTAATATGAAACGTATGTTACAAAGAAAGTATACATTTTATGAATGCTTCGATGTATAAGGAATTGATGAAATATTATTTCTCTTTTCCTACTCACTTAATTCTAGAAAAGGGATTAAACATGCATTTTACCGCCATTTTCCCCTATCTGCATATTTACGTGGTATCTTCCCGGGAAGACGACATTTGGTATTACTGTGAAAATCCTTTGATGTTTCGCCGAGGTAGACATATGTTGTTTCAATGGATTAGAGAGGTGGGTTATACTATAAACTGAACTGCATAACGAGATCGGTGTTTATTGACATGATATCAACTCACTGCTTATTCATTGGCATTGATTGATTTCAACTCACTACTAACTGATTGCCTTTGACACTGATTTTAGTTCACTGATTATGTGTTAATATTTACTCACTAATTATTATGGGTATATATCCTGCTTATCCGCAACCCAATACATCACCTTCGAAATGGCAAATGAGCAGTTAGAGTACAAGTTCATTCCAACTTCACGTAGAGGGAGGTATCTCTGTGCAGATGGATACAAGTTTAGAGTGAATCGCAAACGCAATGCTGCATCGTGGACGTCATGGATGTGCCTAGACAAGAACTGCACTTCAACTATTTCTACAGTTGACGACATCATCACCAAACGTCCTGGCCAACATAACCACGGACCGGTAAATAATGACATAAAGGTGAGTGTGAGAGGAATTTTCATTCATGTGTGATGTTTACATTAATAAATGCTTCTTAATTGTGGATGGTGTATAAATAATTGTGGTGTTATTGTTTATAATTTACATGTAATTAATTAATTCATATTATGAAAAATGTATATCTATATGTATTTAATACTGTGGACATTCAATGCTATCTTGTAAAAATATACTTTCCATGAAAATAATGACATTCAATGTATATCGAATAAAAATGTGATATGTATTTTAAGGGGTGTAAATAATGGTTCGTGGGAGTATTTCATTTATTTACCGGTTAACAATTTAGTATCATCCCTGTGCTTAAAATCACACAAAATCCTTGCATGCTCCACGGATTTGTTGTCGTCTTCCCGGGGAATGAACCCTCTACGCATACAGGCAATGATTAGATGTTTTTTACAGATGCTGCTGCTGATTGAGACGTCATGTCACTGTGATCATTTAATCCTTCCCCAGTCTGTCCCTTTGTCTGAGGGAGACGACAAGTGAACTCACTCATCACTATAAAATGCTAGGATAGTTCTCCTTGGTCTTTATAGCACCTCCTGTCTGTCCTGAAGCATCTTGAATATATTGAATACAGATCTACCAAAATGGATTCTACACAGGTACACACATGAATATGTTGTAAGCCATAGCTGAACTATTCAGCTCAACTATACAGCTCAACTACACAGCCCCATACGCAAATCCCGTGCTCATAAGTGTTAATGCAAAGAAAAGTGAATGGTTTACATTGAAATAAGTTAACATGTCATGAGATGTGATACAGAAACATGTTGCGTCAGAATTCAATAACACCTATTTGCATGTCGCGTACAACACACATTAAATGCGGAAAATCTTGAATTTCATTTTGTGCCTGTATGGTAGTTTTATTCAAGTATGTTATGTCTCAACCTGTAACACCTTTCACTGAAAATTGTTTCTTTTGAAAGTTTTGATGTTTAATATAATACATGTCTGTAGACTTCCTAGACTATCGTTACTCATGCAATTTCTTGTATTATACCTTTTACCTTTCCACTTCATATATCTATCTGCCCATAGTAAGTAGAGAGAGCACATTCCATCCTTGAAATTGATGCATTCGGTTTGCGTAAAATCTGAAATTGTGGTGCTGGTTGATTGTTTACAAGGCTGACTACTGACATTGTAACTGCTTCCTGTGAGTCAGGACATGCTCACGCCCAATGGAAACTATTTAGTCGGGTAATCGAGATTGGCATTGACCAAAGCATACCCGTACACCTGTGAATATAGCATCTGCCTTCGTTATTACGTTTCAGGTTGTGCCCGAGGCTGTTCCGACTCCATCTGGAAGTGTGTTCCAAGGTCCCACGAATACGTTGTCCTCAGAGGCACAGAGAGCGCCTCCCAGACGCCGTGTTCCATTCTCCATCGAGGACATCATGAAGTCAGATGACGTCCAGACCTCAGAGCCCAGCATCACAGACAGGACTTCATTAACCAAACCAGAAGCAGCATGTGAAGGCTTCATAGCAACGACCAATCCCCAAGGATTCGGAGGCCTCAAACTTGAACATCTTCTTCGTTGTCAGATACCAGAGTCTCCGCAGACATGCAAAGTAGATGGAAAGCTCAGTCACCCTTACAGATGTTACCTTCAAAACAAAATCGAAAGATGTGAAATTCCTGCTTTTCCTGTCAGTCTTCACCACCTCCAGTCCTACCCTGAGTTACCCCTCAGTCTCCAGACCCGTACAGACACGCCCCCTACCATCCGCCTACCGATTAGCCTGTGTCCATCACACGTAGAACAACTGGATGTCCGGATTCTGAAGACGAGCACGCTTCCATCATCAAGCGATGCTTATGGTAAGATTGTCGTATTACACATACAGGGATCAAGAACCTGTAACATACTAATATTCTGTCAAAGAAATTATGTTCTCAATTTACTGTAATTATTTATGTATTAACTGATGAATTGGTTGATTCATTCATGTATGCTTTACACCAAGAGACAGTATACTATGTACTACTACGAATAAATAATATTATCCTAGTATACACACCACTGCTTTTAAGGGGGTGGGGTAGCTTAGCGTTCGGCCGTCATGCTGGAGACCCTACATGGATACGGTGGATACGGTACGTGAAGCCCAATTCTTGTGTTCCCCACCGTGATATTGCTGGGATATTGTTAAAAGCGGCTTGTTAATATGTTATTGCGTTTCCGTACATCAGCAGATGACCTCATTGATGTCGAAAGCGCCAGTCCAAACGGAAGTACAGCTTCCAGTGGTTTCTACAGCAACTCCAGCCCGACCCACAGCGCCGACAGTTCCTCCCTCTCAGGGCGAACCTCTACAGGTACTCAGGATGATCGTGGTTCCCCAAAAGGTCAGGAGGAAGATCATGTCTCTGTGGAAACATCCTCTATTGCCGAGGAAGAAGAAATTGTGTCAGAGCTGTCCTCACCAAAGACACTGGAGGAAGACTGTGTCTCCGCGAATCCGAGGAAGAACTACAACGAGAAGCAAGCGAGGAGGTTGAAGCAGGTGTTTCTGGAGAACAAATACCCTGATGTAGAGTTGTATGAAGATTTGTCCCAGGAGCTGAATATTCCAGTAAAGAGATTAAAGGTAAACATTATTTTGTAATCTGATTGTACCTTGTTACGTACATTACGTACACAATGCCAGCATAATGATGTAAAGATGATTGTTCATTTCTTCTCATTCAGTCTTCTGTAGTGATGTGACTGAAAACATTCCTCTTAATTGAGCCTTTTGTTTGACAGAAGTCATTTCTCCTTATGCGTTTCTTATGTGATGTCGAACAGCCAGAATCAGTGTACTAGTGGTGCTAATGCTGTTCTTTGAGTTACCAAATTATTCTTGTTTTTCCTCACAGGTGTGGTTTCAGAACAGGCGATCACGCAACAAGAGAACATCCGACACCAAGATGATGAACTACCCTCTCCAGCAGCAAAACATGGCGGCCATGTTGTCGTCTGCTCCAGGATACGGCTACACGCCTCCCATGATGTACCAGCCCATGTATCAGTACCCAGCACCCAACGTACCGATGATGTACCCTCCCAGTCTGTACCCAGGGTATCCCTTCCCGTTCCACTATCAGCAGTGAAGGAGCTGATCCCCCAGATAGTGCTTGTTAGACATTGAAGCGGACCTTAGGTACTGTTTTTTGTTGAAAATAACGTGAAATAAAGACAAATGAATACTGATGTTTGTCATCATGGTTTGCCGACTCTCCCCCTCTGCTACATCCGTCGCCAAGACTGTTACTGTGGGACACCCGGTGTTGGAGGTTTTTACTTCACGTCTGGTTGGTTGGTTGTTTTACGCCGCACTCGGCAATATGCCAGTGGGGTAACAGCGGTACACTTCAGGAAACCCTTTCATAATCAGGACAAACCATTTTGACTATATCATTAGGACCGCCTCCATGGCGTAGTGGTTAGAGCGTCCGCCAGGAGAGCGGATGGTCGTGGGTTCGATCCCCGGCCGCGTCATACCAAAATACGTGGTCCCTATATGGCGTTCCGCATGAATGGGTACAACGAGGCCTGGTCGGCTCGGAGTCAGTATAATGTGTCTGAGCTGGGTATTCCTGTGGCAATGAGCTAGTACATTCTGGGCTAATACAAACAGCCACACATATGCATGCACGTCGTCATTAGAGTGAAATATTCTTGAATACGACGTTAAACCCCATTTCACCTCACCTCACCTATATCATTAGCACGTGTATATGCTCAACTAAACTGACGTACAAAAGAAAGTACACACCTAGAGTTAACATTTTGAAAAACGTTTCATTGTGGCTTCCAAGTTGCAAACACTACACTATTGCGCTGTTGCCAGTGCCCCACGTCCCTGGCTGTAAAATCGACTGTTTAGTTGCTGGGTTCATGGCACGCCCAAAATGGTCGATATCCCGGGACAGTTTGAAACAATGAGCACATTTCAGGATATACACTACTCTGTCAGTCGGCAGCATGATTTTCTTTAATATTTTTAAATTTTCAGCAACAATTATTTTCAAAAACGAACATAAATCGTTATCCCTACGGTATTTCCTCGTTAAGTATTTAATACGAGTTAGTGAGCGGCAGGTGTTACTAGTAGGGTGGAAATTTCCCTCACGAACACGGTTTTCTGTGATTAGTTCATAGAATATTATTATTATTATTATTATTATTGAATATTTATGTAGCGCACATATCCACGCACTAGTACATGCTGAAGGCGCTTGTAATTATTCCGTCGATCACTGGATGTCAATCCCAAAGGCACATCTTATTATCAATCTCAACTCCCTGGGGATCATACAACTCACTGAGTTATTGCGGCTTTCTCATCCTTACGAGGTTCCCATTCACAGCTGGCACACACAGTCACAGTACTTGTCCAAGTTGATTGTCCAACGGATTCGTGGGTTCTTTTAAGTGCACAGGGTTGTGTACAGTACACTAGGGGTTGTGACATCACTGAAAGAGTCCGCACACAAAGTTGACTCCAAGGTTTTTACACCCGGTCACAGGTGGGCTCGATCCCGTCACCTCAAGTTCGTTGGATCACTAGTCTGGTGCCTTAGCCAGCTTGCCCACCACACCACATATTCATCAGTATTTGTATTTTACGTGCTGCTGATAGACTAACGTTGAGTCTCTGAATATTATAATTTTGATAGTAACACAATCCCACTTAAATTGAAAAGGAGCCCCAGTCTTGCTTGATTGTGAATTGTAGGGAGGACTATGCAGTGGGGAAAATGATATGGTTCAGGGACTGAGACAGACCATGTAACTATGTGTTTCAGCAGATATTTTAGGCTGATAATGCTTTGTCGTCACGGTTTACCTCTTGCATTTTGTACACGATCAATACCTCAACACATTTTTTCACATAGCTTTTTTGTTGTTTAACGGAATATTGAAAGAATATTGAAAGTATATAACGACTCCGTGCAAATAATGCAGTCTCGACAAGACCGTCCACTTATAGATATCATATTGAAATTGGGATGACATTATCAACCAAACCAGCGAGCCTAATCACCCTAATCCATTAATCGCTCCTTCCCAAATCAAAGTTTGCTGAATCAGTGATCAGTAAACTAATGAGTATCTTATAGTGGCTATTGTTAATTTATCTTTTTAACAGTTGACAATAGTGAGACTGGAATGACGTCATCTGACAATGGAGTAACGTGATGAAGTGACTCCTGATAGATAGCTGTAATTCGAGACCCTATCCTACTACCTCGCCACTTTGCACCGCACATCTTTAGTGAGATAAGAGGTACAGGATCAAAATGGCGTCTCTTCTCAGCTTGAGTTTATTTCTACAGGCAGACCGTGCAGTATTAACAGCAGAATAGCTTAGTCCTTGAGCAAAGAATTCCTGCAGAAAATTTAGTCCTTTGCTCAGAGGTGGTGAAATGGGACTGGTGTGCTTTGCATTGCAAAATAACAACCACTTGCGGAAATATGTCCCATATTGTCTATGATTGCAGAATAATGTCTGCAACTGGTTCCTGTATTCTTTGACCCTGTAGTCCTTCCCTGATAGTCTGAATGCTGCAAGTTTCAGCTTTCCTTGGAGTGGATGTTGCCTGTCGGGTTGGTTTGCTACCCTTAGAAGGTATTTTGACTTTGGGACAGTCTGTCAGTAAGTTCAGCAGCCTGCTGAACTGTGTTGGCCATACTAGTGCTATAATCAACACTTCGGCCTCTTCCTGTTGCATTTTCTGCAAAACCCCTCCGATAACACTGAAAGGGCAGAACATATATTCGTAAGATTGTCCCCAGAACGAGGAAAATGCATCCACAGCTTCTGCCTCTGGGTCGGGGCACCATGATACACAACGGTCTCCGATATTGTTAATGTAAGATACTGCTGTAGTGTTGTCAATTAAAAGTCTTATATGCACATTCTGTTGTTGTGAGCACAATGATTGCAAAGTTAGAAAAGCAGCAAAAAGTTCCAAAGAGTATATGTGTTTTTCACTTTCTTCCTTGGTCCACAGACAACCTGTCCTGTTCTCATCACATATCCACTCAACCCCCTCTCCCCCTCCCTCTTGTTTTTTTAAGCATCTGACATAACTGTTAAGTCTGGCTGCGTTTGCTATATGAGCTGAGGGGAATTTCCTGCATTCTCTATGCAACAAATTAGATCATCTGTACATAACTGATCAAGTTCAACTAATCCACCGAAGCTCCCTTTAGCCAATCTCTTATAAAAAAGAGGAGCGTGCTTCATTCCAAAGGTGCTTGCATTCAGTTGCCCAATAAGAGCCGACAATTCTCTGATAGAAATAACTTTGGCACTTTGACTACTTCCAGTAGCGCCTACACCTGAAAATTCCGCTGTTCTCAGGTTATTGCCAGTTTCTCTCCCAGCGGGAGCACTGTTGTCCACTTTTGGAGATGCCAATGTATCTGCCAGTTCAAAAATACTATGGCGTGTCGTCTTCACGACCTCATCGCCCAATTCTTTGTCTCCCCCGTGGCATCGCCATATTGGTAAATTCAGGCGAACAGATCACGACCCGCGGCCGTATAGGTCAGATAGCCTAGTAGCTAAACCTCGATAACA